TCAAAATAACTTGAATAAAAGTTCTTTTTGCTTGTCGTATAAGAGATGTTAACTTATTACTTCTTTCCAGAACGACTGCAAATTTTCATCATATGTCCATAGTAAACTAGTTAAAGCCAATAAAGTGCCTACACGTTTTGAGATCGCTACGTAAAGAAGTCTATACTAAAGTTATTAGACCCTGTATTATATGATGATGTAGCATTTTTACATTCCAAAGGAAGACCATGTCTAAATTTACCGACGATTTTTCGTCTTTGGCATATCCGGGACCTTTTCTGTTTTGACATCTATTGTCTTACTGTCAGTTTTAAGCAACGATTCAAAGGTCGCCTCGTGCTTCTTCGGACCTTCGCCGGCAAGTTTTAAGATAGAACACGTCGTCGGATCTAGCTTCTACGAATACGCTAAATTCTCATAAAGATCCGAGCCGAAGACGGGTATCTTAAAGTAATATAACGCATAATGGCCGTAAAATAAGTAGTGTATAAAGAACTCAAGAGTGTGTTTTGTCGGGTGATAAAGATCCGAGCCGAAGGCGAGTTCTTTAGTCCCGATAAAACACACTCTTGAGTTCTTTAAACTACTTCTAGAACTCCAACATCCAGAAATCGTTATCATTTTAGAAAAAAAGCTAAAAAAAGCGAAAACAGTGATAATGCATATTAAACTTCTACTGAGGATGTGCATTTGCCACAATTGAAAGAATTTTGATCCCACATGTAAGAACGGCTAGTCTATGCYATACTSCATGTCTGCAYATTGATTCAAACTGATTTAAAACCTAGCAAAGGTCTATGATGCGACATTAAAACTGAGACCTTTGCTAGTGTTGGGTTGCGATAAAGCGCTGATAACCTTGAACATCAGTTCTTTATATCTGATATAGAACTGGTTAATAAAACACCAGTGCTTTATCGGGATATAAAGGCCCATCATGTGTCCCAATAGTTCGATGCTTATTGGACTAATAGCTCATGAACAAACAAGYCATTAGTGATTACCTCAAAAAATTGCCAGAAGCGTTCGGTGCACCAATCATATAAATGGCAACAGCTGCTAGAATTTTAACCCACTGAGATATTTTCCAGACACTGTACGCCACGTWCAATATGTATCGGATAGAGGTTTAAACGTGTTCTGTCGAAACTCGCCAAAGAAGTTTGCAAAATTTATTATCGCATACATTGCATAAACACAAGCGGTTACCGCCTAGGAAACGACTAGGTCAAGTTGGATTTGTCTGACTGTGGTATGTTTGGTCTMYTCAGAGCTATTTATAAGTCCACACGTCGTTCCTGTGAGTCAAAACACACAGAGAACCTCACAAACAACAAGGGGCCGTTTGGCGTGCGCATGCGCCAGTHTGTTGAWAATTCATTGAAATTCATTAGTGATTCACTTCAAGCGAGAAATTACAACGACACGAAGGACAATTTCCAAAAATGTTTTTGGCTGTTTTTGACCCTGAAATGTTCTGTCATGACTCAAGAACACTCATAAATAGTGTAACCTACAACGAGGAAAAACACTGGCGTTATTGGACTGATTGGGACCGTTTAAAATCTTATTTAAGAAATGTTGATATTAATGACTTTGTGTTTACAATATGGAGGCTGCAGTGGTTTATATACGCAACCACTATTCCAGTTTTTGCTGAGTTCTGGTCAAGATTCAACGCAGGTCATAATTAGGCATCGTTTAGTACGAAAGACAGTTTCTTGAAGTGTACAATATTTACGCTTAAATATTATTAACTGTTATTTCATACTTGATTCAGTTTTCTTTGTTATTCATAGTGTTGTATCTCGCTTATTCCCCAGCTCGTTGCGTATTCAAGTGCTTTATATCGAAGTTT